CTCTACTTAACTTACGTTTAATTTCACAAACGTAATAAGAAATGTGTTGCAGATTGCGCAGGAATCCTGCACAGAAGTACCCGATGTGGTGAACCATTACCTGACAAGTCTAGATCTTACCTAATCAAGTGCTCGGGTAATTAGCCACAATTATACTCTTAAATTAGAAATAATCGAGTAACCTCACTCTTGTCGATGTCCTCACGGAAATATTAATTGCTATTTAACTTTTAAAAGGGCATATATGGAAAATAAGTAATTTTCATTAAAAATATTGGATCACACTAAACTTAAAAATTGAACTTTAATAAATCATTAATCTTGTAGTTATTTGTTTAGGTATTATATATGCACGAAAATGAGTTTGAAATTTCAATTTGAATTTCAATTTCATTTATATAAGAGCCTCCCATAACTTTTTACGACACAGCGCCCTCTCGTCGGCCGATCGGAAAACTATCACATATGTAGTTTAGCTTTCCGATCACAGGTGGCGCTTTAACAAACACCAGTCTACCTCATTGAATTAAAAGTTATGGGACCGTTTTCCATATTTTCGTTAATAATCCCTTTCATTTGTCCCGGAGGGATTTTCGGTAATTCCGTATCGGTCGTTTTCATTGTCTAGAATCGGTAGGCAATGATAATTAAATGCTGTTAAAACGTATTGCTCATTTAATGTGCGGAATTCGCACGCGGTGGTAGCGGGAGATCGCTGCCGCCGGCTGCCTGCGGCTAATTCTCCATTCGAATAATGGGGATATTATCTCAAATTGTTTTATTGCTTTTGGAACAGCAAATGAGCGGACGGACGTTTTGAAATGGGGAATATTAAATGCTTACAAGTTACACTTTCGAATATTACGTAAAATTAACAATTTGAAAGGTCCTCAACACCCATAAGCTTAGCTTACATACTATGTAAAATTTATTTGTAGTGGCGTAGTATAGCGCTGGCGCTGGCCTATCCTGATATTTGTGAAATCTTCTGCGAAACTTATTTTCTCAGATTTAATGGCTAGTTATGTAAATGATTACACTGCTTTTAGTGTCTTTATTCAAGATGTATCAGGAACTAAAAGATGCTATATTAAATTGTGTAAATTCGTGGGTATTTAGGCCATTACATCACACTAATACAATTAACTTTCTTTGGATTATTTTAAAATTATTTCAATAGCTCACTGAAATGAACATAATTCTCCATTCCTATTATTATCTCACGGATATTTACTATTGTTTATAAAAACGCAATAACTCTATATTAGATGTATTGTTTCAGACACGTCAGCGCTTTATCCGGCGATTTGGTAACAATTTAGAGAGAAAATAGTTTTTGTGATTGTTGGTATCATTTATCCAGTAATAACTATATTCTTACGCAAACGAAACACGAGGCGTGAGGACAATATACATATCTCTTACAGTACTGACTATAGTGACGATAATCCAATGGCATTAATTTTGTTTTAGAATTTAAATAGTTCGAAATGTAAAGAAGATATCAGCTGATCAGCATCAGCTGATGATAGATCGAAAGATCATTTAATACTATGTTTGTAAAAATGTTAATGCAAAATACAGATAAATAGATAGAACAAAACCGTGAAAAAACAGTTTCCGTGAACCGCTACGGATCCGCGAACTGTGACATTACGGTCTACAGCTACTGGGAACCACCCGAGTTCCGAGTTCCGAAGTGCTTCGGATCTGAGAAAGCACGCGGAAATACACTCAGTGCAACAACTCTGTTTACGTCGTTGCTTTGTTGTCTTTACATGGGGTTGTGATTTGAAAAATAGATAGACAGGTATACATAAATATTCGTTGAGTAGCAAAATTTAGTTTGATTTTTATGTAACGATCTTTTAGCTTCATAATTTAATATGTATTTGGTGAATTTAAGTTTTAAGGATTGGAAAATGTCATAAATATGTGAAATGAGTGTGCGTTTCTAACCAAGGTGGTCACAATTGTTCAACAGGCCTTAGGCGATGGCCTTTGGAGAAAATTATTGGAATTTGCTATGAATGGAATCCAATGAAGGTCCTTAGATTAATAACTATGAGAAAACAATGGATAGAATGGCGCATCGCGCATTGTTTATATTAATTCCCGAATCACACAGAGACATTCGGAGCGCAGATACAAAGAGTACATCTAATCAACACAAATGTCCATTGGAGGCGACATGACAGGTAACCTCTGGAATCTCAGACAATGAACAGTAGAATAAACAATAACAACAAAGGTGTACACTTTGTTTTCTTGGATGTGTGTACGATAACATGAGATCGGGCGGCGAGCGCGCGGCAGAGCTCCGCCAGCGCCAGTGTGCACCGCGCGCGCAACACGCCGCCATCTCGCTGCCACTCGCTATTGCCTCGCCTCGGTGCAGACACAGTGCAACGCGTACCTAGCTCAGTGTTATCCACTTTCATCAATACGTTAAAATGGATCGTACTCAACTAAGATGAAGACTTCGCAGAGTGATCAATGATAGAATTTTATTATCGCGAGATCGGAGTAGATATTAAAAAATGCCATGAGCTCAGCTGGTAATATAACCGATGACCTCTGCAAGATATGTGACGGCAGGATAGAATGCGCGCCCACGGCGATCCTGCTGATATCGCTTGTACACACGCTGTATGGCTACATCGGCCCGGAGCCAGACTACTTTGGCAGGAGCAGTCCGCCACCCGCCGTGCCCCAAGGGCTGCCAGGCCGCCCTGCGCCCCAACTTCCGGCCCCGCCAACCGCCGGCGACCATAAATATAGGGCTTTCGCTAAACACAAGTTCTTAGAGGAAAACGGCAAGAGCTACGAGGAGGGCCCGGACGTAGTGCTGAGCGATCGGGAGCTGGAATACGACTTCGTGGTGGTGGGAGGAGGCACGGCGGGCTGCGTCGTCGCCAGTCGCCTCTCCGAAAATAGGAAATGGAGAGTGAGTATTTAGTGCACTTCATTTCCGGAACTAAAGAAAATGTGAAAAGTGAGGTCCAATGAGTAATCCTTAAAAAACATAAGTTTTTTCTACTTTCATATTCTTCTATGTATGCACATCCTTCTACGCAAACCATCTTCTATCTTAGGTCTTCAAATATTAATGTACTGTACAGCGAAAATAAAAATATTGCTTAAAATTGTCCATTTGTCCAAATGTAAAATACTAATTTTGTTGAAGGTTCTGGTCGTGGAGGCCGGGCCGGAGGAACCAAAAATGGCGCTGATTCCGGGATTAACTAGTGAGTTCAAAGGGTCCTCAGTGGACTGGCAATATGCAATGAGACCAAAGAAGGGGTAAGATTCAAATTATTATTTTTACTTGCATACTTTTAGTGGTTAGCAATAGTTTCTTTAATATATGAATAAAATAAGATGTAACAGTTTGTAATCAGTTAAACAATACAAAAGAGGTGACAATGGAAAGGATAAACATACATTCGCGCGAAAAACATTGTGTACATTTATTGATTGATTGCATTGTGATTGTGATAATATCTTTCAGCGGTGCCCTTTCGAAACTTGCTAATACACATTATGTGAAAAACTTATTACAGAATAATATTATCATGAACGAATATCTCATTTCAGATTTTGTCAGAATCGTCACGAGTTGGGTTGCGAGGTGGTGCAGGGGCGCGTGCTGGGCGGCACCTCCACCATCAACGACATGGCGTACATGCGCGGTAGCCCAGCAGACTACGACGAGTGGATGCTCAGCGGCAACGAGGGCTGGAGCTTCAGCCAGCTGCTGCCCTACTTCAAGTACTCCGAGGGCAACTATGACAAAGATATTGCCAAAAATAGATTCTTTCATTCGACACAAGGCCCCCTGGACGTCGGTAGATACCCGTATGTTGACGACAACGTCGACGTCCTCCTGAGCGCCTTCAACGAGCTCGGCTACAACTACACCGACATCAACGGTCGCAACCAGCTGGGCTTCATGCGGATACAGACCATGTCGTACTTCGGCGAAAGAGTCAGCTCTTACACTGCCTTTATAGACCCCATTCGCAAGCTGCGCTCCAACATAGACATTGAGACGGAGGCACTCGTCACTAGTGTTTTATTTAAGGACACTCGAGGATCCGTTCGAGCCATAGGTGTAGATTACATTAAGAATGGTACAAAGACGAGAGTTAAAGCGAAAAAGGAAATTATATTATGCGCAGGCGCGATCAACACGCCGAAGCTTTTGATGCAGTCCGGCATTGGGCCCAAGGACTATTTGGAATATTTAAATATTAAGGTGTACAATGACTTGCCGGTCGGGGGTAACTTTCAAGACCATCTGTCCGTGTGTTTACCCGTCATTAAGCTCACTAAAACGGCAACAACATCTAGATTTTCGGAAAAACTCAAAGATATATCGTCATACTATGCAAGAGGCACGGGGCCGCTGTCCGCTAATTTCCAGGTAGTAGCGTTTTTAGAAACCTCCTTGTCCGATATAATTGGCACACCAGACATTGAAGTAAGATTTCGTGGACACGATTCTAACATGTATTACGACAGAATAGATATTTGTGTCTCCCTTCTAACACCGAAAAGCCGAGGGCAAATAGTTCTCAACGCGACGGATCCCGTTTTTGGCAAACCCTTAATTTACCCGAATTTTTTAAAAGAGCAATCAGATGAAAAAAAATTGTTAGAAGGAATACATGAAATAGTTAAACTTTTCGACACAGAGGTATTCAAGACCGCCTCATTCGAGTTCGATCCTCTACCGATATTAAACAATGAATGCAAAAATTATGAAAAAGTATCTGAAGATTTTTGGGCGTGCATAATAAGACATTTCTCAAGTCCATTGCATAATTATGTCGGGACTTGTAAAATGGGCTCCTCCAAGGATCCCGAGTCGGTAGTCGATAATAACCTGAAAGTGTACGGTATAGCGAATTTGAGAATAGTCGATGGCTCGGTTATACCAAAAATAACCCGAGGATCGACGGCGGCACCTATTATAATGATAGCTGAAAAGGCTAGTGATTTAATAAAAACTACTTGGTATTAAATATTACTTTTATTTGCTAACTTAATAATAACATGTTGATGTCATCTTCTGCCATCATATTGTCCTTTGTTCTCTTTCCAATCTTTTTTAATTAATTTAGCCGCTTTCTCGGCAATCATCATCGTCGGTATGTAGATACCGCCACGGACATGAGTCGGCATCACAGACGCGTCGATAATTCTTAAGCCTTCAATGCCGTGCATCTTTAGATGATAGTCGACGACCGAGTCTGTACTGTTATCCCCCATGCGGCATGTGCCGATAGGATTGCTCATAGCCTTAGTGTAATGCCTCGCTATACAGTTCCACTGGTCTCTGTTCCGTAATTTATCGCACGGGAATAAATCTATAGGAGCGAATTTAATGTCTGCTTTCTTTAACTCCCTCGTATCTAGCAGTTGTAGCGCTATGTCGATGCTGTCGACCAGCGTGTCCAAGTCTTCCGATTCCTTTAAAAAGTTAGCTTGAATGATTGGCCTTCCGTATTTGGGATTTCTTTTATTTAACATTACTTTACCTTTACTTTTGGGTTTCAGTAAAACCGGGTAAATAGATATTAGGTTGTAATAAGGTAACGGCATTGTGAATTCCTCCGCTGTATGAACACTGATATTTGTGAGCAAGAATTTCTCACTTCTCACAAAGTTACCTTCGAAAGATATTTCGACGTCGGGCGCGTTGTTGTTATTCTCATATAGTTGTAAGAATGCCGACAGCTGGTTTATGCCTCGCGACGCCAGCGGACCGCTACGAGAGTGGAACCATGTCTTAAAGTCATTAATAATAGTATTTTCCTCTACTGGAGCGACATCATTTATGGCAAAAGCGAGACCTCCAGTGGTGACCTGGTCCTGATAGAATGCTCCCACGGGGAGTTCGTGTATTACTGTTATGTTGTGTTTCTTTAGTTCGGTCTTGGGACCGATACCAGAAAGGTGCAAGAGTCGCACGTTGTTGATAGCGCCCCCTGCAAGTATTATTTCGCGCTTGGCGTAAGCGGGATGTTCTTTCCCCTTTTCGCTTTCATAAATCACGCCCTCGACGTTCTTTTCTTGTTTGTTTATGACAATTCTAGTGACTGTCACCCCGGTCATCACGACCAAATTCTTCCTGTGCCGCACTGGTTTCAAAAAGGCACTGTTGGTGCTCAGCCTAGTGTGGTTGTATATAGTGAACTGGTTGACGACGGTGGCTTCCGCTATGTTTGTGTTTATGTCCATGGTGCGCAGGCCCATTTCGGCAAAAGCGTTGGAGAACATTTCCACGAACCGATCGGCGTGCTTGAACCTCTGCACGCGCACGTCGCCGCCGCGGGAATGGTACAAGGAATTCATTAATACGTCGTAGTCGCCTTAAATAAAACAAGTTTAGTTACATCTCCTGGAAGTGAGTCGCAAGCGGTATAATTAAGAAAGGTTTGTTAAGTTTTTATGTTAAGTTAAGAGAATGTATTTTAGCTTTACCGACTTGTTTTAGTGCAATCAAATGTTACTTTTAAAGTTGTGCTTTACATTGTAAGTAGCGTTCGAATTGATTAATGTATTTTCTATATAAGAGTCGCGACTTTAGTGCCGTGAAAGTATCTACCACATCGTACCATTGTCTTCAAAAGACTTGAAATGTTCGAGCAAGTTGTCAAACTGCCAGTCGAGGGAGGCGACGTGTCCGGGGCTGTGCCAGGCGTCGTAGTCGCGCCGATGGCCGCGCGTGTACTTCATATCGTTGGTGACGCTGGAACCGCCCAGTACCTTGCCGGTGCGCACCTCACATGCGCCACCTGGCCGTGACAGACAAGAGTACCCGTTGCGCTCCGTGCGGTAATTCCACAAAATAGGTCGGTAATCCCGCGTGGGCACGCCGGGAATGTCGTAATCTATATTCTCGTCATCGCCTGCCTCCAGCAGTAACACCTGAGTGAAAGCGTTTTTAAAATAAATGTTATTAAATTATAAGTGGAAGATTTCTTTTTTAATCCAAATAAAATCTGATTTTGTAAATTTTACTATATTGACCTTCCAGTCGGGTACAGCGGAGAGCCTGTTGGCGAGCACACAGCCAGCTGTGCCGCCGCCCACAATAATAAAGTCAAACACGCTGTTCCTCAGGCTGTTGTCGTCCGCCTTTGAGCGCGTAGCCTTGCTGAGCAGACCGGCCGCCGCACCGCGCGCCCCGCATGCCAGTGCCATCAGCCCTAGCCTTCATACATCAAATTATGTCAATCAATAACCCAAACGTTAAACTATCAAGAAATCGTTTTTTGTTCCCGATCACAATTACAACATTATGTACCATAATTTTAAGTATAAAAGGAGACCAAATACATAAATCATTCATTAACTATACCCAATATATTCACACAATTAAAATACACAACAACACATCCAAATAATATCATAAAAAATTCCTAACCTTAAAATAAGTTGTAACAACATTGCACACAGATTGTTATTAAAAACAAAACAATATAGTGCGCGCACTGCAACAGTATGAACTATTCACATTAGCACTGCTGTGTCACGGAATGCAGCACTGTTTGCACTGGCTTGCAGTGTGCAGTTTGCACGCTCCATCGGACGCGTCCTGCGGCGAAGGTGAGCTGATTAAGCAAGGCAGGACGAGGTTTTTCACGCGGCGGTATTGATCGCACTTACATAACGATTTCCTCACTTATATAAATTAAAGTAATTTAAATCCGGACGTTGGAGTATTCCTGATTTTCTCGCGTTGTGTACGACCTCGTCTGTTGCGGATGAAAAGTTTATGATTGATATTGCTATCTTCTATTAGTTACACGCTAATTTATTTTATTTACAGATTGCTTCGTATAAGACATTTATAAATGTGTAACAAATTGAATTTAAAACAGTTTCCCGCTGATAAGAAATTGGTCATTTAACATTACCAATGTAGATAATGTTGAGTTTCATTGTCCGGTCACTTACTTATAGGAAACACTCGCTACAAGTACTCTGTTACGGGTTCGGCTCGCATTAAGATCGAATCCCGGATGATGGTAGCCATAAGTGCAACTCTACAAACTGGCTCGTAGTCATAAAGCATAGGCATGCGGTCAGTTAATTTCCGGTCGCCCTCTTATCTGACCATATAAACTTGTCATACTGCAATACTGATGCTATACTATGCTACTGAAGACCCTTCATATTTGGAGACATTTAACGGACTACTTCCATCTAGAAGAGTAAATGTATTATACATTATCTGCAAATAACATTAAATTAAATTTCATCATGAATTTTTACACGTATTTCACTAGCTTTTTTGTTTATTTATTGTACTAAGAAATAACTTAATTAAACGCCGTGCGTTGGCTTTATTAATATAAATTTTTTATAGTATCCGTTTATTCTATATGAATACAGCGCCATCTTGTGTCGAAAAACAAATTCAATATTGATTTTTTTCTAGCTTCACGGATAGATGGCGCGTTTTCAAAAATACTGAATAATAAAAAAGAAACAAGAATTATAAGGTATATTTCAACTGCACTGAAAAAAATCTTTCAAAGTTCGAAAAAAGAATGTTTATAAAAGACGTCCTTCAAAAATTACTTGTAAATAAACTAAATTAAAGCAAACAAAAATAAGCCAAACACTATTCAATTAACCACAAAATAGGTTATCTACATTACATTTATTTTCATTTTTATAAAATTTTGATCTCTAAGTTTACATTTAAATAATCGCTTTCTCCACAATTATTTATGGCTAGTAGTAGCTATAGTTATGCAATGCAATGCCCCGCCTCAGCGCTGTCAGGAATCTCGCGTTGCATGTTTCTAATGAGCGCATCTCATCTCGAACCTATAAATATTCAAGATATTTTAAAACGACGTATAAATAATATAAGCATCTATAACTAAATCGCTGAGTACTTAGCAATTTATTGTATGTATTGCTTACGATAGTATCTTGAATATGTTTGCCGTTTGTTTCATACAGCTTGTTTTAATAAATAGCAAGACCACATATTGACGAAAAAACACGGGACTACTAAACTTTTTGGAAATATACAAGAAAAAAAAATATTTTTTAAATCTTAAATAAATAAATAAAATGGATATAATAAACTTGCAACTAGCATCAACGTACAAAAAACAAGTTCCCGTACATTTAACCAATAAGTTGTAGAGTGTAGAAGCAGTACCCTAGCTTTTGTATTCAAACAGATGAAAGGTTTATTATGAAAGGTATAGACGAAGAAACGGTTCTATTTACGTCTGCATTTTGTACTTACCTGCGTATTATGTTTGTTTACGAAAACCCTTTACTTTTAAATTATACCCATAGGTTTTAATCGTAACAATATTAGCTTTGCTTTAAAAGCTAGATAAAAGAGAACTTGTCCGGTTTTCTATGCGATGGTTTGTCACCCTAGAGAGCGACATTAATAAATAGCAAAGTTGCCGATAAGGCGTGATTCATTGCAGTTGCCGGTTGCCGCGCTGCTGCTACCTTAATTACGACGTCCTATGAGTTATGGGGTATGTTTCCGTCGCTGTCCACTACCCCGCCACCTCGCTACCCCGGTACGCCTTTATCTATTGACTTTAGGGTCGGCAGAGATCAACGGAAGTGGTAAAAACAATAATATCAAACTGAGGTCGAAGAATTATGGATTTCCAAATATGTGATAGTATTGATTATTATGGCGTTACAAATATACTTTTAAATTATAACAAAATATGAAACTAAACATTCCTTATAGACAACAAATAGTCTCGCATAAGATCAAAATTAAATCTCAGCTGTCTCTCTGAATCTTAACTGAAACAACATAACGGTTCGAATGTTCTCTTCAAATGATCGTTGTCATCAGTCCCGAGGCCCCATGTCCCAGCAGTTAAGTCCCGGGATAGCGCGCTAAGCCCCGGGGTCCGAGCGCGCCGGGGGACCCTCGAGGACACGAGATAAGCGACGTCTTAGCGACACAGGCAATGCCGTATTCTTGTCTTGAAGAGCCACAAATCTTGTAGAAGGCGCATCGAATTTTTAGATCTTTGTAATACTGGTTACCATGTGTTTACAATAATTTAGTACGCCAATGATATTTGATATCGATTTGATGACAATTAACAAATTTGCAAGTTTTGTTATTTTCATATAGATTACAAGTCTGAGGACTTTCCGAGCGTATAACTAACTGTAATGCTAATGTCAATCTCCTCAACGACTTAAAAAAGCAAGTGAAAATAAAACCTATTTGTGATTTCTATAACGTTCTTAACTCTATAGTTATCTTAAGGGTCAGTAAAACAAATCGCAGCGAGCGGAGATGAGGCGATCATAATCGCCAGCTGTTGTCCAAACACCCCAAATCCCGGCCGAGGGCGCAAGACACGCAGGTGGGTCTAGGACTATGGGCAGTAGACTTATACTCTTCAAATAATCCATGTGATTTGCCAAACGACGTCTGCCGATAGTTCGTAACGACCGACTTGTGAATAAAGCGCACTCCTTACAACATTCAAACGTAAATGAGATTTGTAAATGATTATTGCTTTCCTTACAACATATCCACCATCTGCTTCATAGTCGACATTTGAAATTATTTAGCTACCAAAAAATTATCAAGATTTGATCTGAGTCTTATTCCTAAAACTTACGGAATACAGCTTGTTTTACTTAATACCTGAAATAAAGAAAACATTATGTTAATATAATTTACCAATGATAGACAATAGGAACAGTAACAACAGAATACATATAGTACATATAGAGTTAAGTAAGAATAATGATTAAGGTATCGTTTATCTCTTACCAAAGTTCACTTTCTTCACATAATACATAATTATCTAATACTCTATAAACTTTTGTATAATTGCACTGTGACTTACAACCTAAATAAACGTTCGCTATTTTATATTATATTAATCCGTGTAATGTAAAAAGAACCTGTTATTAGCAACTCCACCACCCACCAGGTAAAATAAAATATAAACTTTGAATGACAGCTTCCCAGACTATGTGTGAGGGTTCAGCAAAATGTAATGTGTTCCTCTCATATGACTGTAATAATATAAGATATAACGTTGTATTATTTCAAATACAATTCTATCATATTTGTGACAAACTTATTTGTATATCAGTCACAGTTAAATAGAAGTACGTGAGTCATTTAAATTGCACTAAAATGTTTCACTGAGTTATAGACGCTTCATGAAAATAATTAAAAAAGTCCATCGGATCCATAAATTCGTCTGCGGGATGAAATAAAAGCGAGGGCAGGTCGAGGCGAGCACAGGGCACAGGACACCAGGCAACTGGCTGCCCACTGCCGTGTGCAAGCTTGGACGAGCTCCAACGCGCGCTGTAGATTTATTGCTTAGTGATTTACGAGGCATCAACGCCGCGGATCTCGCACAGATCGGACCAGAGCGACGCATTGCGACTTTTATATATATTTAATTTACTGCATAATAACATTTGTATTGTCAATGTCCTGATGGATACGAGCAACAGTATGCTTTCGACCGGAATAGAAATATGCAAATGCAATATTTTTACACATAAAAATGACAGAAGCTCACAAAGTGGCAATAGGTGTTCATCCATTCGTGTGATGTTTGCCCTTTCATTCTAAAGCAATACTGTTTGATTTAATTAATTCCTTTTCCAATACATTTTGACAACAATTTATCGACATATTTTAGTGTAAAGTGTTAATTACGTCAGCAATGTATCAATCAGGAGATAATCTTGTAAGTTTATATGAACGTCGCTCCCGGGACATCGCGAGCAGGATTTGTGGTGACAAATGTAGCGGCGGCGTGTTTAATGAAGAGTAATCCTGCTCTATCCCGCTCCATCTCGCGCCGCCGTCCTGCTACGCACCGCTCATGTAGCGCCGCGGCGGGACGCGCGGCCCGTCTGCTGATCCCGTAGCGTGCGTGCCGAGCGACGTGTTCGCATTGTCCCTGCATGACTTCACGTCATTGTTTCTGCATCCTGATTGAAGAAATATATTTATTGTAAAGATTTGAATATATAAATGTAATACTTCTGGTGGTGATACTAAATAAAGTACTAAAGTTTTCCTGCATTATACTTTTGAACTTTATCAGTTTTATTCACATCCGTATGGTAATACTATCTCGTTTACGTGTCGTGCTCGTGTCGTGTGTAGAAGTGGCAAGGCGCACTCCGCTGCAGCGCCATGTTTATCTATTTGACTTAATGCCTCTCTAAACACATTGTCGTGTCGCTCCAATGACGGTAATTAGCTCCAAACTTTGACGAAGTGCTTCTTTGATATGCTCCCGAGGATTTTAATGTGTCGAGGGTGTTACAAAGTTCGGGCAATTACAGCACATTTGTTACATACGATTGTAAAACGACATAAATTATACAAACTAAAGATAATTCTTGAAATGTTTGATATTACAGTTTACATCAGTTGTTATTGATTTAGTGAAGCAGCTTTCAGAAGAAACAGTGATACTTTTACGTTCTAAAACTATTTGAAAAATTGAGCCAACTAATGTAAAATTCCAGCTGACTCCCGCATGGCGGAGTGCTTGACATGATGAATTATTTATTTGCGTTTAATTCTCCGGGGACGCGAAGCCAACGTCTAGCGAAAGGCGAAGGTCGCCTGGCGTTCATATGGACGCTTTGTATTCAGGACTCTGCAGTAGGGTGACCACCAAGTATTTATGAATGAAATATGTATATATATATATATATATATATATATATATATGAGATTAACTTATTTCCTATTTTTTCAAATGTTAACTTTTACTTGTTTTTTTTTAGAATGCGATTAAACATATTCACACTTTTTTGACAATTTGTATATTAGGTATGTGGTAAAATTTAACTAAACTACTTGATTGCTTAAGATGAAAAAAATATTCAAAAGCCAACAAAGTCATGATGATCTTTGTTATTCAAATATCCATGTCCTAAATGTTTGCAAAGATATTGTGAACAGTACGAGATGGCTGCGCGTGTGAGTCGCGGAGACGCGCACAATACGCCCGCATGTTGCTGCCATTATAATTTACAAGAGAACGATGAATTTTAATATGTCTATAGATAAGATGAGACGAGGTCACCGGATTGTCCGCTTTTTATATAAGATTCCGTTCTGCCAAATTGACTGGCGAATTTATAGATGCAAAGAGATTAAAATAAAAAAGAGAAGACTACAGTGACTGCAGACTACTTGTCTAATTACATCGATAGTAAGGTAATCCTTGACTTGTATATTAAATTCATATATTTTAAAATATTATATAAATTAAAGATAAAGACAATGTTTAGATAAAAAAAAAATGTTAGAAGTTCCGAGCAAATGGAATTAAAACATAATAAGCATCTACAAGATGGTCCCCTGGGAAGATTATCAATTAAATGGTACAACGCGTATAACTAGGTGTGTAATTGGTGTTCAGTGGTGGGTGGCGGGGGGAAGGGTGCGGGGTGGAGGGAGGGCAAGGTGACGGCCGCTTTGTTCATACACACCTCTTTTATTAATTACCACATCCGCTGCCCACCCCACTATTGGAAGCATCAATTCATCATTCGAACGAGCAATTTCTTACTTATTTAGAGATCTGTTTGTTGTCTGATAAATAAATTTTAAACTATCAATATACTATCAGTATATTATGTATTAAAAAGCAAAGAAACACAAACATTATTACAAGTACAAACAACACACTTTATGTGTTATTTATAATTTTTATAATATTATTAACTTATATAAGATACGGCAGAACCCCTCATACAAATTGATATCAGTTACTTCGCCGTTTCAAATTTTAATTACAAGTCAAGAGTTACCATAAAAATGTGAGCGCTGTGATACACGGCAATAGTTGGGAGACGAGGATAAGATGGCGTCGTCGGGCACAAGATGGCGAATGTTGGCGGTGTGCGTGTTGTGCGCGGCGCTGCGCCCGCCCCCAGCCAGCGCTTCGCAGCAACTCATGAAACAGCTCACCGCAGGGTTCATGAAAGCCATGGATGTTTGCAGAAAAGAGGTGATTTTTAAACATTATTTAATTTCAAGTCAATTGGACATCAGTGTGCCAACGACTGCTCGATTATTATTTTGCAGTTGAATCTTGGGGACCACATAATGCAAGATTTCATGAACTTCTGGCGCGAGGAATACGAGTTGGTGAACCGCGATCTGGGCTGCGCCATCAGTTGCATCGCCGCTAAGCTGGACCTGCTTACCGAGGATCTGAAGATGCACCATGATAACGCCAGGGAGTTCGCCATTAAACATGGAGCTGGTAAGTTTATGTTTATTGCATTTTTCGATATGATGGTACAACATTATTTAATTTGACAATCCGCAGTAGAAATTGAGATTTGCTTACACGACAGTCCAGTGTTGAGGTCATTTGAATCAACTAGGCAGTTGTTTGCATTATGCAGATTGTCGTGATCGCAGCCAGTTTGTGGATTTGCCTAAACGTAATGCCCCGAGGGATGTTTGTGAAGGGAGGAGGGTTGCCGAGATACGAGATAGGACACGGGACGGACGTCGGTCGAACACTTTTGCTTGTCATGTTTTTTTTTATTTGACTTTTATCAATTCGGATCGGTCCGTTTTATTAAAAGTAGTTTCACAAATAAGAGTACGGAGCAAAAGGGTCTTGGGATCGGGGTCTTTAAATTTTATGACGTTACTTTACAGGTAAAGAAATTTAGGCAGAATTATTGTTTTACTTATTACTATTGTTTGATATTTGTATACTAGATGAAGATGTAGCGAAGCAGCTGGTATCGATTATCCACGATTGTGAGCGCAGCAACGAGGGCGAAAGCGACGACTGCCGGCGCGTGCTCGAGATCAGCAAGTGCTTCCGCACCAAGATACATCAGCTCAACTGGGCACCCTCCATGGAGGTGCTGCTCGAGGAGATCATGACAGAAGTCTAAGAGAACACTTATCAATCAACAGATCAAGTAAAACTGGACCCTGGACTCCGATTGACTTTGATATTATAATTCTCCCTCCAACCTCGTCAGTTAGTTCCTAGTCTATATTAAGTATTTGCTTTTAGTTATTTTTATTAAGTTCGGTGTAAAGTAGAGTGAAATGGATTTTTAATAAAGGTGTGATGGAATTTTTTCTTTTTATAGTAAAATATTGAGGCAGTTGTTTGAAGGCAATTTGCACACATAGGTTACAGTAGCTTTAATTAGTTTAGAGAAATGTTTAAGCTATTATAACTATACCGTATACCTCTTATATAGACACACGACTACAATTTAGTACCCCTCACCCCCGACAGACAAAAAAGCTAAACTTATAAATGTTTGAAATCAATGACGCCTTATATGAAATGTCATATAGCTGCGCAAATCTCTATGTCCATATATACATTTACACTTAGAGAATCGTGAAATTAAACCTATTTTGCTATCGTTCATTTTGACCGCTGAGAACCTCTCGGTCACTACAGTCGCGCTGCAGCCTTATCTCAGCTCCGTGCAGATCTAATTGCAGCGGATCGCGACTGTAATTAAGTAATTAATCAAGCGCTAGTCGCGGCTAATTGGCACTCAGAGACAGAGCAATGCTCAGCGCGACCAACGGTGATTGACGATAGAAGACGAAGACTAATTCATAAAATTACAGCAATTAACGTGTGCTTTTCTGTCAGCACTTCCGATCATCAACAACCACTTGCTAATCCACAATATTCATGATCATACAGGTTACTACTTGATCCTATATTTTTTTCATGGAAAAGAAAACGTGCATCCCTTGTTATCCTATACGATATCGAACGAACCAACCAATTGCTTGGCCAAAGTCTTATATAACCAGCTTTTACTAAAGGTAAAGCGTAATGTAAGAAGTACCTGTTTGTGTGTATCGCATGGTATTTGAGACAAGACACGTCGCAACACGGTGATGTATATTCGAAGCACGCGCGGTGTGGGGTGCGGGAGATGCGGGTTACGTGACAGGCCAAGACAGGGGTAAACAATAAGACGTCGCGCAGCTGCTGCAGGGAGCAGCGCGGGAGGGACACCTCACCACTGCCCTTGCTGTTCCCTCTCACCAAAGAGGTTTTATGATATATCAAATATCCAAACTATGATAAAACAAAAGGGAAGAAACGAACTAAACGAAATTGGAATCCAAAAGCTTTTTCAGTTTCAAAAATTGTAGTCGATAAGAAATAAGTGATGTGGTATTAAGGACTGCTGATACCTTGATATGCTACTTAGTTACGAACACTATTTGGATTATTGAAGGATAATAACTATAATACCCATGAATTTGTATTGTCAAAGATTATAATAGTGTGTCACTGTACATAAAATATTTTGCATTCGTTTTAGTCTGGCATTGTTCTCATATTTTCAATGATTGCACAATTGCACTGCCTAGTAAAGCCGTTAATTGTTATAATTCCACTGTCCCCAGTAAAAGTGATCATAAAGCCGACATTCTAGACCTTGTAATGGCAAAGTAATGCTAGGTAACTGTTGCGCTGTGGCCGGCAGTAAATCTAATAGAACAATCGGCGGCTGTGTGGCGCGGACTGCGGGCTGCGGACTATCAGGACATCAAACTTCAATTAGCTACGGCACGGCCCCGGCCCTGTTTTGGCCGGCCTGCCAATACTATAGCGGTACATTAAAATATATTTGATTTCTTTTTGTGCAAAAAACTTTATACATAAACGACGTCGTCGTGTTGAAATTACCTCAATATTTTCCGTCAACACACGTCAGAGTTGTCATCAGAATATCACACGTCGTATACACGTCGGCGTACATTAATTTAATTTGTTAAGTTTGTTTCGCCTAATGAGCTCAGCGTGTGCTCTTGAATTATACAGATCGCATGTTTTTAGATGAATTAATTTGACCCCTCGCAGTGTATAGGATCGTGCCGTATTGGTCACTAGGCTTTCTTAAATTTGCTCTTTAATATGAAGAGTAAATATCGCAATGCTGATTTATTATTTGCCATTCAGTACATTTTCGTAGGGGCCCCTGTAGAACTGCGGCGTCCAGTTGAGGCGGTATATATGTGATCGGAAGCAAATCATAGTCTTGAGACCCGCGACGCACGCACTACGCTCGGAGCTGGAGGCGTTCTGACACGTCTTGAACACGTCCAGCAGCACCGCCGCGTCATTCTCGACTGCACCACCGTCAAAACAAGGACACCAATCAGCAATACTTATGATACCTGACCCCCACTGACCTCTATACATGGACTGGCCGTAGTATTTTGTGGCTATTTCATTTACGCCATTTTGGCACTGACGGTTTCAGTTGGTCACGTGGTGATATTCAATAACAAGATAGAATTAACTGTTAGGAACTTCCACTGGCGTGTTTAAGTCCGTGCGAAATAAGAGTTGTCATTTCCAAGCAATGACCTATCCATTAACAGAGATCAGTGCTGACTCCTGATAATTGTAAACTATAGTTCTTGTTGAATTTAATTGCATAAATGTAAGTATTTGATGATGGCAAGTTAAAACTTAATGTAACTTAAATTTATAACTAACAGACTAGGGGTCCTTAACTTTAATTTTTGTCTGTACGACTGACAAAGAATGAGCAACGTGTATATAAATACCGGCGCCGTTCTGGTGTAGGAATTTGGTGATGTTTGTGTCGTTGAGGGAGCCGTCGCGGTTGCGCAGCTGCAGCTTGAACAAACTGCAGGCCGCCAGGCAGCCCAGGTAAGTGTGCCCCGTGATGTTTAAGTCACGGTTCCAGAAATCTAGCACGTCGCGGAAGTAGCCCGTCTGCGGGTACAGCTGCAACCACAACCCACAACTCTCAACCTTCTCCAGCGGTAACAGAAGAGGGAGAGAGTGCCACAGTGAATGTACCGTACCAATTGCACGCAGTGCAGCATCATGCTGCCGAACTGTTTGCTGATCTCATTGATGACAGAGCTGGGGGGATGATCTGCTCCGGCCGCCACCACCAGCAGCAGCACCGCCGTCCGCATCTCACACATTTGTAGATAGTCAAGTTTTACAGCAGAACTCGTTATTCTAAAATTAATTATTCGTCCTCGCAGCACACAAATGGCTGGCGTCGCCGCAACAAATGCGCCCGATTGGTTTCGTACCACACAATTTGCTTGCACTGCGCACACATGATTGCAATAATTATATCTTGTCTTTATCTTCTTTCCAATTTGTTCTGTTTATTTGCATGTATATATTAGGCATTGGCTTGTCAATGTATTTGTAGTAGTAGTAGTAGTAATACCAGTGCCACTCATCCTGATGAAGGGCCCCCGATGGGCTCGAAACTAGTCGGTGCCGCCACCGGACAAATATACGTCAGTGTTTAGCCGTGTTTATATATCAGTTTAGTATAATGTCTCACGAAAGTTTGAATAATGAAATAATATTGTACAAAATCTAAATCTTGAAGAATAAGATAAAAATAACAAAGTTATGGGTTTCGGGTATACATTAACAATTGATCTAGGCGTCAGGAGCTCAACAAAACTACCACTAGTTGTTTCAGACATGATGTAATTGATCAGACAGAAATTATGTTGAACGGTCGGCAGTCAGTAGCTGCCCGGTGCCCAGCCGTATTGCTCTATGGTGGTGCGGTAGCAGCGGAGCGCGGTTAGGCCGGCGCTGCACGTGCGCTGCTCGAACCCGCTATTCTGGTGACATGTCACGAACATCTGCTCCAGCTGCCATCGAGTGCTCGGGTCTATACACACCTTGCTACTTATTACATCGAATTATCCATACAATAGAACAACGCTGAAACTAATCACGTGTGTTACGTTCAGGAAAGCAACGAACCGGCGTCGTTGGCGGTGAGGAAGCGCCGCACGTTGGCAACGTTGATGCGGCCGTCGCTGTGGGTTAGCTGGAGCCAGCGCATGCCGCACACGGCCAGGCAGCCCAGTCGCACCTCTTGCACCTTGTAATTCGGGTCCCAGAAGCTGTCCATGTCTGGATCCACATGATAATTTGGAAACATCTGAGACAAAAGTAGAAATGCCAAGTACACTATAATTTTACGTATTTACCTTAAAAAAATACATCGCCAATTACTAAGAAGGTCTACTTAAAGACGAACACACACAGTGAGTTTCCGTAAAGGCAATTTGTTGTACCCTGACAATTTTCTCTTTACCTCTAATAACAGTTTCACTTTGTTAGCGGCCTTCATTAACAACATTTCCCACGTCGCGTCGTAACATTAAGTTGTATTGAAATATCTAATGAAGGTAATCTCAAATGTTCCCTTAATAAGTTTACAATTTATAAACCCATCAACAGAAATCTGTACCTTTCTACTGCACTGTACCATGATATCACCCATTTTAGAACTTATGTCGTTGACAACCGTCCGCGGAGGTTCGTAAGCATCGAGAGGCGTGATCAGCATGGCCAATGCGGACAACAATGCCACTAACAAAGTGGCCAACAACACCATGTCTGTTGAACCTGCCCCGAGCTAATGCCGGCGTTACATTCAAAGCCGACGTTCACTTTGTATCAATTTGTTTTGTAAACAGCATTCGTTTGTTTCCGAGTGCACTAATTGCGATGTAACACAAACAAATTGTGTGCGCGACTGTACTGCACCACTTATTTACTGCCTACTTTCTCGGACAAATGGCAGTAAGTGTCGTTTTGGTCATTTATTACAAGGCTAAGCTTAACAAAACTTGGAATATTTTGTGCCACTTTTTATTAAGTGAGCGAATATAATATGTAAGTTGAACGAATATTATCTTTTTTTTTACAAAGTAAAGAGCTAAAATGTAAAAGTAAAGTGTAAAGTGAACACAGTATGTTCATCATTTCATTAGTGGTAAATGTTTATGAAGGTGCGAGCCGCGGGCAATATCGCCGACAGATGGCGCCGCTGACGCAAATGCATTAAGAGCAATTTTTGCTAATCATAGCTCTGACTTATTTTGCACTTTACGCACATTAAAGTGAATAGTGTCTTATATACTGAGGATTTTAGCAAGCAAACCACAAGGTATTCAGAAGTTTCACTTTATCGTTATTATTAATATGTAAACATGGAAACAACTGCCACAACCAATTAAAATAAATAACAAATGATATCAGTAGATTAATTCAAACATCGCTTTATGTCGTTGTAGCGATCTCTCAACGTCCGAGCAGCGAGCCACGCCGTTAAATTAAGATAAAATGCGAGATTATCGCAACCACGTAATACTAAAGTACTAAAACTACATCTGCACGTTCTTAAATTATTACAAATACGTAATGTCTGCCTGTTACTTATTGTGCAACGCCATAACTTAGCGAATTCTATGTCAACAACGTCTCGCAGATTCAACTAAAAAAATTGTATAACTTCTTTTGTTTTATTTCATTTGATGGAAATAAATAACAATGAATTAGTTGAAATGTTTACCTCACTTTTACACGTGTCCAAATCTTTTACGTAATTGATTGACATAGATTTTATGATTTCTTATGAAGAATAAACAGTGTGACATGTAATCAGGCATGTCTCATTTTAGCTTTTTATTCATGTTCATTTTTTTAATCACCTATCGATTGACTTAAGAAAAAAAATGATTTATTTCTTTGGGTGTTTGGTTAAATAGCAGTAGCAAGTTGTCAATCAGTGATTGTAATTGTGAGTGAGGCAGCAACCGACACTTGTTTGTACAATTAACTTGTCGGGAAAGAGAGATGAGTGCGAATTATTTGTTTCCTAGCATGCGGTAATTAATGAAAAAAATATCTCCTGTAGTCGTAGTGTTGTAAAGTCAGTCGGAAGAACTAGATGTGGTTAGTTTTTTTTATTTATCGATGCATAAGACGAGTATGCAGTCTTACCTGACGTAAGACAACACGGCAGTGTGTAAGTTGATACTACTTATAGTTCATTTTTATTTATTTAAGCAACAAAAACTCGTACAGACATAAAAATGTATTATATTTTAAACAGCAAATAACTTATGTTTTATTACTCTACTTATGCCGTGTGCCGAATACAATAACTCTTTTCATATTTTCATGTGAATTCGTTCTTACTGTTTGCTTAAACAGTCATTTTAAGTACCATTTTCTCCTATATTTATCTAACAACTACTTACTATTTTGAATTGCAAATACATAAGTATCATTTGTAACGTTTATTATTATGACGTGTCTAAAATTTGCGCTCTTATTTTGCACTATATAGACGTATTCTTTGAGTTACGTTTGCTTTGTTTTATACCAAAAGTAACACAAACTAATGGTTGTTGGGATACCAAATTAACAGTGCGGGTGAATAGAAAATAGGGTTGCCACCTCTTTAAAGCTTGGCATGAATTCTCCGGGTTTGTATGGTGCATATTCGGACTATGGAACATCGCTATCAGAGTGAAATATCGCAAGTTTAGGTGTATTTTTCTTCATCGTCCGCCAAGGAGTCAAATATGTACGTACCCGTATACGGGTAATTGTTTTTTTCACTACCAGCGTGCGGATCTACTTTTATAGAAAGATAGCAGCCCTAACAGAAAACGTTATGGAAGGTGGAGTGCGAGAATAACAGCAAATACAAGTTGGCGCGTTGCCGCAGCGCTGACAAGCTGATGGATGAAGTTGACGTACCTACTAACAAATCATTAAATATTAATGCTGACACGTAATTTTTTTTTTTGCAGAACATTTCCTGGAATTTTTATATATTTATATTATTATATATTATATAACGTCTCATTGTCCAAGTTATTTCCCAAATAAGCATCAGACTAAATCTTTTTGGAGGTGAGCAGATAAATCTTTTAAATTATTATACGTTATAAAATTTATAACAGCTCCTCGGATTTGCTATTACTTTGTTGCAGGCGCCATCGATGTTAAACGGTATTTAATTAAAAATTGTTATTTTAAAACTACTATTTAACGCACTTTGAGTTCATATGATTCAAACATGGTACACCAGTTTTACCTTCTACGTTTAACGTCCTGTACTTTATATTGTTGTATTGAATACAGAATAAAATGGCAAAATCTCAATAATAACATAGATAATGTAAATCACAGACATGGCATATGCCATAAAGAAAGGTAGGGGCGGCGGACAATGAGCGATCGCGCCTTGCACGGCGGCGCGGCGCCTGGCAGACATTCAGTACACGTAGCGCGCGGGGCGCCGGCCGTCGGGGGAGACATAAATATCACCAAAGAAATCGCGACCTCTTTTATATGGAAATTTTTATATTTTCCAGCAAACAAAGTCGCGGGAGGTATGTGTGTCGCGTTCGGTTTTATTGTTTAGAGATAATAGGGCGAGCAGGTGCGACGCCGCCCCCCTCCCGGCTCCACACGTAACGATATTGAACACTTACTTTGAACGACGTCAATACCACGGAATTATAATTTTACGCATTGTTTACATCCCCTCAAACAATGTTTATTTTATTAATAATTTTATTTTATTTATGAAAGAGAAAATTGAACTCAAATTATTTATAATATATTCAATATTATTTAATAATTTGTCAAGAATCTGCTGCATCAAACGAGACGCTCCGTGCGTGAGGGATTGCCCTACGGCGTGATAGATGGAGTTACTGTCTGCTCGCGAAAGGAACTAATGGCGACTACACCTGCCGGGGACCTGCGAGGGCCGCCTTCACCAACAACAATCATTCATATCACGTATCTTATAGGTAAAACCAAACTTTTCTCCAGATGATCCCTTTCCAAAACAGTTTTGGGGAAAACAAAATATAAAATTGGCGTATTAAACTCGTTGCAAAATCGGTACTACGTGACACAACCATGGAAGACGTAAATAAAGTTTAGAATACGTTGACCAGGAATAATAATGCATAAATTAACCGTAATTTACATCTTACTTAATTTTTATCTTTTACTAGCATTTATTTGTTGATATGCAGTTATTTTATCGAAAGTGAAAAGAATCATAGATGTGAGTTTAACAATTTAAAGGACCATCCAGTGTAATACACTTTTCTACACAATATCGGTTCAGTAAAAAGCAATTGCCGTGTGTTCCAGGCGGCCTTCACGTGCCGACTATCCGTCACCGCGTGACTCCGGGCTAGGGCTATGGGAAAGTGATTCCGCACTCGGCAGCCAATGAGCCGCGGAATGGGAATCGTGACAAGAATCTCTACACCACATACACAGACACACACACACACGACATCAACCCGGACCTGTGGTAAATATTACCACAACAATGACTTATTTTATATAAATGTATTGCTTACGCGACTCTGAGTGGAAGAATTAGATCGATATAATTATTATAAGATATAATTAACTAACAGTTTTTAAAACAAATTGTAGTCGAATCAAAGATTTATTGAACAAGAAATGCCGCCTTGCCGATGCCTTCAACGTAAAAGGTGCAAAAACAACGTGAGTTAGTGCAGTGATAACGTTGCGGACGTGGACATAAAGTTTATAAAGTGAACATAGAATTGTTTTTATTCCTGTTGTAGAAATGTTGACACACGTTGTGAGGTTTGTCGCGGGTGGTCAGTCACCAATCGGGCAGGTGTGTCGTGTCGCATTCCTGCGCGCTCTCTTGTCAACGCGCACACAACATGTTGCACTTCCCGCTAATATAACTTTATATTAGGCTCAACACTAACATCTAATTCTTCTCCGCTGAGATGCTATCTCATATAATCCGCCTTGTATCGCTGTTGTGCTTTATCGTCTGTAATCATGTTATTTGTTTACAAGTAATCCACGCGGACCTCGGCACTGATGTACACAAATTTACTACACACGCAAACAGATGACAATTTCTCTAACATATATTTTGCCTCAAAGGCGTGGTGCTGTGTAAAGTACTCAAATAGCAGCCTTTGAAGAAATAAATACTGCGTGAGTCGACAGTACTGGGCATTTAATATGTTGATGGAACCATCGTGAAAACAGCTAATACTAGACGTTGTGGCGCAGAACACAAGGTGTATAATAAATTGCTATACTTTTATCCTCATGATGACTTATATGATGAAGTACTTCATATATGTACAATCATAATGAGGGTGTAATGAAGCGATTTTCTTGTGTATATAAGAGTGTGACGCGGCGGATGAAAGTGCCACTATGGATATGGGTTTGTTGCACTGGTGTCTGAGCTGCGCGCTGGCCGGGCTGGCGCTGACGGCCGCGCCCGCCGCAGCCACCGCAGAGATCATGAGCCACGTCACCGCGCACTTCGGACAGACCTTAGAGGAATGTCGAGAGGAGGTAAGATTTAACGGAACTGAAGTTAGCATGAAAAAAACTTTTACAAATCAGTTCAGACGAGGAGAAAAAGATTTAAATCACGAAAGCAATTACCTCCTCTATAAATTACCTAGGCTTTTTAAATTTTAAGAACAATTACTGATTTTTATAAAAAATTGATGTGGTTTGTTGTGTGCTATGTGCAGTCGGGGCTAACGATGGACATGATGGAGGCGTTCGCGCATTACTGGAGCGAGGACTTTGGTAAGGCGACGGTGCAACGAGAGTTCGGCTGCGCCCTCATCTGCATGTCGCACAAGTTTTCGCTGCTGCAGGACGATGTGCGACTGCACCACCTCAACATGGACGACTACATACGCAGTTTCCCAAACGGTCAGCAAACAACAACAATACCATATGTACTAGACATAGTATTTACGTGAAGTAAAACTCTCTAGTTAAAATAAAAAAAACACGATTTCATCGATGTGTCCACCCCACCAGCTTTAGTTCCTTGATAAACGCTCATTAAGTGTATAAAAATATATTGAATGTTATGTACAGGTGAGTTGTTGTCGACCAAGATGGTGAGTATGATTCACGAGTGCGAGCGGCAGTACGACTCCGTGGAGGACGACTGCGACCGTATCGTGGACGTCTCCTTGTGCTTCCGGAGCGCCGCCCAGCGCGAGGGCATCGCGCCCAACCTCGCCATGGTGGAGGCCGCGCTCGAGCAGTATACGTAGAGCACTCGCAAAACGTACAGCAACATTTTAGTTGACATTTCTATCCCGAATACAAAAATTTAGTAGGTAATAAACGTTTTTTGGATTAGCTGTTATTTTAGTTATTTGAAACAGCAACACAACATGCCGGGTATGGTTTTAATCAATGGTCGCTAAGTTGTCGTACCTGGCGATGGTGTGCAGGTGCGCGCTGGTGGCCAGCTTGACGAGCGGGCGGTGCGGGGGGCGACTGGGGCGCGAGGGCGGACTGTACGTGTACTCCCCCGCCTGCGCATCACCCGAGCCCACTCCAGCGCCCGTCAGCCACGACCAGTGCTCAGCCATGCTCACCCAGAACACAGCACACGGCACGCTCCAAGCACTAGCACCTTCACTGTCCTTTCTCAATGTACACTTCACTCACTTCTATCGATGACACAATTCATAGAATAAATGATTTAACTAATCTGTTCGCGTTCTATTTATTGTCATTTCAAACATTTTGTATCACTTCACTGATAATCAGATTATTTATTAATTATTACAAAGTATTTAGTCTAAAAGACAGAAAGTTGGCAACCGACCCCGGGTTTCGCACTGATGGCAGAGAAATACACGTTTTGAGATCTACAATTCTGTCATACGTAGTATTATACATATACATAACTGTAACAGCTAACAGTTTAGCTCACGTAAGATAAAAAGGCATTTAAAGAATTGAAAAATACGCTGCTGCTTTATTCATTTATACTAAACTTGAGTTATAATGAAATATATACACAAACTTGCAGGATTAAATAACCTTTATAGTTTTATTCTTCCAGTGAAAACCGTATCTTAATCCATTTCAGCAGCGTAACGCAACGTAGGAGTCACACTGAGGTCACGAAAACTGACCGTTAATAAGAGTGTAAGGGTATAAACAGATGCCGAGTGCAACCTCTTTGTCCAATTAAATAGTTCATTTTGTAACAATAAATCAAATCTCACAATTTTCTCGTTCACTTAGCGAGCTCATCCTTCAAGTTTCCGTCTAACAAGTCTTATTAAATTTATGAACAATGATTGATAACATGGGAGCAGCGCGGGGGGGCGCGGGGGGGCACGGGGTGCGGGGAGGGCGAGCAGCTGACGCTCTACAAACTTACTATGCGCTTCATTGCATTTATATCATAATATTCTCTATTCCAAAGGCTCAAAGCATATTTTGACAGCACAGCTAAAATTGTAAACTGACAATCCTGAGAAATGCAACAAACACCCTCCTCAAAATAGCGTTATTAACACTCAAATACATGCTCTAGGCACGAGTACGTACAAGAGGTTCACAGACGGGATTCTAAGGTTTATTCACATTCCGTCCCGCTTTATAGTTTGATAAGCGAGCGAGATAAATGTATAGTTTATTGTGAGGACGTCGACAATAGCGGGGGGCGCAGGTTGAGTCGGCGACGGCAATAAATCTGCGGCCCTTGCGATTCGCGAGAGATATACTGCCGAGTTAACTGCGCAGCGCCGCGGTGAGTCCCCGCACACGCCGCTCCCGGTTCACGACAATACGCATAATGGCCCATTACCCGCTGGAGCCTACAGCGTTTATTAATTAAATATTTTCTAGTGGATTATACCGATAGTATTTCATAAAATATAATTTCGATAAGCTTATGCAACAATGGAACTCAATAGCGATACGATATGTCATCGCAAACATCAATTCTAAAAACATTTTCTCGACGACGTGGGATCAGAGTTACAGAAACATTGTGCAGCAGCGAGAGCTATGGTATTTATTCTGCCCGGATGCGTCCGGTGCTGTGCTGACGACTGACTTTGAGTGAACTTTAATATTAATTGCGGATGAACGCGCAAATACTTCACACGTTTATGTAAACCAAGTATTCCAAGTCAAGCAGCAAATCTATTTAAAACAGTTTGCTAGCTAATACAATAAATCAATGTTTTAACATAGTAATCAACAATTTAAATGGTATTTTATTTTTCTATTTAAAGTAATGTTTCTCGTTATTAGTTATGATTGGGTTTGAGTTCGATGTAAGAGAGCTCACTCCTACCACTTATCGAAATGGATCGCATTCGTGGGCGCGGGGGCTGGTAGTGTAATGACGGGGTGCGGGGTGCGGGGTGCGGGGGTGCGGGGTGCGGGGGTGCGCTGAGTTATGGCCACTATAATATATTGTTACAGATAATCATCACGAACAAAACGTGACAACACAACAAACTTACATATAGGTACATTACTTTCATCTGCTATTTCATTGCAATGACCTGGTCTGGTCGCTTAAGTTTGTCTTTACTTGACCCCTCACTTATTGCATTTTAGTAATTTTTCATGATGATCAAATGACACAAAGCAAAGTATATATCAATAGAAATTACTCAACAACAAGTTCAGCTCATTGTTACGACTTGTTTTAAAGAATCGATGTAAGTGAACTTGAAGTATGCAACGCTTTACAATAGTGACTGTATGCAACTCAAAATTTTTGGGAACGTTTTGAAACTGAAACTTTAGCTTTAATGGATGTTGAGTACAATCGATGGAAATACTTGCAAGCTGAGTGTTGCCGAAAACCTAAACTCCAGTGTAATACATGCAGGCTAAAGCATGCGTGATACTTCACAGATTGCAGTCGGTATAATGTTGTATGAGTACAAATACAGTTCGTAAGACGGTTTAATAGTTTAATTGAATTTTATATAAATATGTAGTGATTTCAGCTGCGTAACAAATTGTAACTAATACGTTTAATGTAAATTAATTGACCGCTGGCAGGAGAGAATGTAAAAAGGTAGAATAAAAAACAACAGCGGTATTAATTCAGTTCAGGTGGAGGCAGCAGCGTGTATTATCGCGGCGCTCTTCATTAGCGCGCCTCTACGTACAATGTAAATCCAGCTCAGACACTGAAAAATACAAAACTAAACCCTGCCATCGATAAATTAGGATTTAATTCACATTGAGACAGTGAGGAGGGGCGCGGACACACCCCAACGGATCGGGGAACGTTTCCTTCTGATCAAATTAAAAATGTGAGCATTTTCATTATTCTCGCGCCCTTTTAAGTTGTAAATACGAAAATGTATTATTTACAAAGATACAAAATCGATGCAAAAAATGTCTCAAATAAACAACAGCAAAAAACTGACAAATGAGCTATCAAATATGTACGCAGTTCACGCAATCGCCGGTAAAATTAAACAATAAGCTCCCAGCAGAGCGCAGGCGCAGTAAATTACTCCGTCTAATTGTGTCAATGGTCAATGTGGCTAAATGTCGCGACCAGCAGACTGACGACTTGCGATGTTAATTGAAGCCATTTCAGCTCATCTGTCTGTGTCACACAAACATTACGATATTGCGATAATTAAACTAAATTAGTATGTACATGCAAAATGAAAATAACTACCTACATACTTTGAATAGAAAAAAAAAGACCTTAAATCAAGCAAATAAAAACACAAAAAATGTACTTTAAAATTATTATTACAAGTGGTTACACAAGTCTTAGTCCATGAGTAAAATATTATAACGAAGCTGATAAACACAAAGTTGAAAATAACGAGCGTGTGCAATAAATTCAATTATTTCGCGATGTATGGACATGTCTAATCATGCGATTCATTGATCGCGCCGTTACAAACTTTACAGGATGTTGTAAACTAACCCTGCCAAAACGATGTACCTTCTACAGGATACAAGTAAATATAAGTATTTACAGGCGGCATGTGCTGACTGATTTTAAACATTTATTCGACTTCGATTCGATTTATTTAAACTAAAGACGAGTTTCATTAAAATATTACGAGAACGTTGATACGGATCAATACAATCAAATAATGTTCATTTCTCATTTTACTGTCAAATATTACATTTTTATATATAAATAATTAGGATAAATTTTAGGCAATCAAACTGTATCAGGCTGTATAATACAGTGTCCCGCGCTTTGCCGCGTGACTCACCGTAAAGCCCGACACACACTCGCGCTTTCGTCTCGTACGTACTACACGCCTCTACGTGTGTGTGTGCGCCTAAGGGAGCTAAGGCTGCGGCTTTTGTGATGAGCTGATAAGACACGGCCTGCCAGGTACCATCCTTGTTGGATATTATTACTGTAACCGTTATGTTTTTGTAATAAGAAATCTTTTTAATAAGCTTCCTGATAGTTGTAATTATTGTTTCATTATCAAATTTTTTAAGAAGAATGACTCCCGCGCCCTCTGCCGCACCCGCTCCCGGCAGCACGGTGCGAGCGGGCGACGGCCGGCGGCTGGCGGCTGCCGGTTTATGTGAAATCGATGCATGCCTGTTTGTAAACA